AAGCAGTTTGGAGAGAAAAAAACTGCGCCCATGTTCCCAAAATATTGTTTATAAATGTTCTTTTACATTTAAAGGGGGAAATGATATAGGTATGAATAATTTGCATTGGTATGGATTTTAAGGTCAATTTTGTTATATGTATATGTATTTCTGATCTTGATTAAGGTATTGTGATTGTGTAGTTCATTTTTAAAATGTAATGTATAATTAAGAAATATAGGTTAATGGTTAATCATCAATAATAGTCAAGCTTGTAGTCATGTTAGTTAGGTTTTCTAGATATATAGAGATACATTTCAGTTAGATAGACATTCTTCATATCTTTCAAAGACTGCAGAATATGGCATTTAATGTTTTAATAACTTAGGACTTTTCATGACAATGAGACATATCTGCTCCTGGTGGCACCAATCTACTTCGAGAGGAAGATGGGCATCAAAGAGGATCCTTATGGAGTTTGACAGCCATTTGGGCAAGAAACTGCTCTTGCCTGGACTGTTGCATAAAATGGACACAGAGACCCCGCAGAGAGAGGACTGCTGAACTTGCCTAAAGGTGATACGGTCTTGTGGGGTTCATAACTCATGAAAGAGTCTGCGAGACATTCTGCAGGACACAACAGATAGTGACTGAACTGTCTTTGAAATTCCCTGCTTCATGGAAATGTCTGCTGGATACTATGGGCCTGAAGGCTGAAGATGGATGCCCCAACCGTACAAAAGAACTTTGGGTGACTGTCCAGGCAGCGAGATGTCTCTGTCATTTCTAGAGTTTTCTTATTTCTTGTTTACTTAGGTAGTATTATATCCTTCTGAAGTCCTTGATGGAGTTGAAGAATGAATAGACAGTTATAGTTTTCCTTAGTTATGATAAAAGATAAAATAGATATAAATATTGTAACTTTAATTCTTGCTTGATGACTGTTTTGCTATATGTAATTTTACTATGTTAAAGTTAAAGCCTTTCTTTTTTGTTTAAACAGAAAAAGGGGAAATGATGTGGGAGTGATTTCTTATTAATAAAGAAACTGCCTAGACCCATTTGATAGGCCAACCCTTAGGTAGGCGGAGTAAACAGAATGGAATGCTGGGAGAAAGAAGCTGAGTCAGGGAGTCGCCATGATTCTCCCACTCCAGACAGACGCAGGTTAAGATCATTCCTGGTAAGCCAGCTCGTGGGCTACACAGATTAATAGAAATGGGTTAGATCAATATGTAAAAGCTAGCCAATAAGAAACTGAAACTAATGGGTCAGGCAGTGTTTAAAAGAATACAGTTTCCGTGTAATTATTTTGGGTAAAGCTAGCCGGGTGGCGGGACACAGCCCGCCGCTCCGTAACACAACAGAAATCTGTCAATGAGATCCACTATATAAACATATGGAAATCTGTCAATGTGATCCACTATATAAACATATGGAAGTCTGTCAATGTGATCCACTATATAAACATATGGAAATCTGTCAATGTAATCCACTATATAAACATATGGAAATCTGTCAATGTAATCCACTATATAAACATATGGAAATCTGTCAATGTAATCCACTATATAAACAAACTGAAAGGAAAAAAACCCATCATTTCATTAGATGCTGAAAAAGACTTTGACAAAAATCCAACACCCCTTCATTATAAAGCTCTTGGAGAGATCAGGGACCCAAGGAACATACCCAAACATAATAAAAAGCAATTTATAGCAAGCCAACAGCCAACATTAAACTAAATGGAAAGAAACTCAAATCAATTCCACTAAAATCAAGAACAAGACAAGGCTGTCCAATCTATCCATATCTATTCAATATTATACACAAAGTTCTAGCTAGAGAATTAAGACAACAAAAGGAGATCAAGGGGATATAAATTGGAAAGGAAGAAGTCAAATTATCACTTTTTACAGATGATATGATAGTATACATAAGTGACCCCCAAAACTCTACCCAGGAACTCCTACAACTAATAAACCCCTTCAGTAATGTGACAAGATTAACTCAAAAAAACCAATAGCCCTCTGATACACAAATGATAAATGGACCAAGATGATCTGGGATTCTCCCCTGTATGCTGTGACTACCATTGGTTAATAAAGAAACTGTCTTGAGCCTGTGATAGGGTAGAATGGAGCTAGGTGGGGAAAACTAAGCTGAATGCTGGGAGAAAGGAGGAAGAGTCAGTGAGATGCCATGTAGCCCCGCCAGAGACAGACATGCCAAAACTTTGCCAGTAAGTCACAGCCACATGGCAATACACAGATTAATAGAAATGGGTTAAATTAATATGTAAGAGTTAGCTAATAAGAAGCTAGAGCTAGGGCCGGGCAGTGGTGGCGCACGCCTTTAATCCCAGCACTTGGGAGGCAGAGGCAGGCGGATCTCTGTGAGTTAGAGACCAGCCTGGTCTACAAAGAGTTAGTTCCAGGACAGGCTCCAAAACCACAGAGAAACCCTGTCTCGAAAAACAAACAAACAAACAAAAAAAAAAGAAGCTAGAGCTAATGGGCCAAGCAGTGATTTAGTTTATACAGTTTCTGTGTGGTTATTTTGGGAGTCTAGGCAGCTAGGAAATAAACAAGCAGCCTCCTACAACACCAAGAAAGAAATAGAGAAGCATCATCCTTTCTTTTTTACAATAGGCAAACAAGTGAAAGACCTGTATGACAAGAACTTTAAGTCTCTAAAGAAATTGAAGAAGAAATCAGAAAATGGGAAGATCTCCCATGCTCTTGGATAGGTAGGACCAACATAATAAAAATGTCAATCTTAACAAAAGCAATCTACAGATTTGGTGCAATCCCCATCAAAATCTCAACACAATTCTTCACAGACCTTAAAACAGAGTTACTCAACTTCATATGGAAAAACAAAAAGCCCAGACTAGCTAGAACAATCCTGTACAATAAAGGAACTTCTAAAGGCATCACCATCTCTGACCTCAAACTCTATTATAGAGCTATAGTAATAAAAACAGCTACGTGTTGGCATAAAAACAGACACATGGATAAATGGAATTAAATTGAAGACACTGACATTAATACATGCACATATGAATACCTGATTTTTGACAAAGAAGCCAAAAAGATAAAATGGGAAAAAGGAAAACCTCTTTAACAAATGGTGCTGATATAACTGGATGTCAACAGGTAGAAGACTGCAAATAGATCCGTGTCTATTGCCTTGCACAAAACTCAAGTCCAAGTGGATCAAGGAACTCAACATAAAGGCAGTTACAGTGAATCCAATAGAAGAAAAAGTGGGAAGTAGCCTTGAATACATTGGCACAGAAGACCACATCCTAAATAGAACGCCAGTAGCACATACCCTGAGACCTCCTGTCTTCTGTAAGGTAAAGGACACAGTAAACAAGACAAAACTACAGCCTACAAAGTGGGAAAAGATCTTCACCAACCCCACATCTGACAGAGGGCTGATTTCCAAAATATATTTTAAAAACTTAAGAAACTAGACAACAAAATACCAAATAATCCAATTTTAAAATGTAATGGAGAGCTAAAGGGAGAATTTTCAACAGAAGAAACTCAAATGGCTGAAAGACATTTAAGGAATTGCTCAATATCCTTAATCATGGGGGAAATGCAAATTAAAATGACTCTGAGATATCATTTTATACCTGTCAGATTGGCTAAGATCAAAAATACTGAAGACAACTCATGCTGGAGAGGGTGTGGAGTCAGGGGAACACTTCTCCACTGCTGGTGGGAGTGCATTCTTATACAGCCACTCTGGAAATCAATATGGTGGTTTCTTAGAAAAGGGAATACCTCAAGACCCAGCGATATCACTCTTGAGCATGTACCCAAAGGATGCTCAATCATACCACAGGGACACTTGTTCAACAATGTTCATAGCAGCATTATTCATAATAGCCAGAACCTGGAAACGAAACAACCTAGATGCCCCTCCACTGAAGAATGGATAAAGAAAATGTGATACATTTACACAGTGGAGTATTACTCAGCTCTAAAAAAAAAAAAGTCATCGTGAAATCTGCAGGCAAATGGATGGAACTAGAAGAAACCATCCCGAGTGATGTAACCCAGACCCAGAAAGACAAACACAGTATGTACTCACTCATAAGCGGATAGAAGATATAAAGCAAAGCAAAGGATAACCTGACTATGATCCATAGCTCCAGAGAATTGGGAGTGTAGGGGGCAGAGGGGAGGGTGGAGGGAGAAAAGAGAGGAAGGAATGGGAGTGGGAAAAATATATAGTTCAATAGAAACAATAAAAATATTATATAGCATCGTGGAGACAGAGAGATTCTCAGAAAGGATTTAAGATAAAGTAAAAGAGAAGTTACCATCAAAAACAGAAAAGTGGATATGAATTTGTATATATTTGTACTAAGACGTAGAAAAACTGCCAATGAATTTCAAGGAAATCTGTGTGTATTACTACAATACAATGTTTTTAATTCACATTTTTACATTAAAGACTATTTTCAACTTTAAATATTTTTAAATAAATGATTCTGAAGTCCAAAAAAAGAGAAAAAACTGTACTTTATTCAAATGAAAGTTGTTTTTCTTTGTTTTGGTTTTTTTTTGTTTTTTGTTTTTTTTTTTTTTTGGATTTTTCAAGACAGGGTTTCTCCGTAGCTTTTGGTTCCTGTCCTGGAACTAGCTCTTGTAGACCAGGCTGGCCTCAAACTCACAGAGATCTGCCTGCCTCTGCCTCCCGAGTGCTGGGATTAAAGGCGTGCGCCACCACCGCCCTGCTGAAAGTTGTTTTTTTAAGACAAATCTTGCCATATGTTGGTGGTGCACTCCTTTAATCCCAGCACTCGGGAGGCAGAGGCAGGCGGATCTCTGTGAGTTAAAGGCCAGCCTGGTCTACAGAGACAGTTCCAGGGTAGGCTCCTGAGCTACAGAAAAACCCTGTCTCAGAAAAAAAAAAAAGACAAATCTTTGAGTGCATTAGATACTCCAAAGTAAGCTAATGCAAAGCCTTCTCCACAATCACATGTTGACATCTTTTGGCAGAGTGGTTGCATAAATGAAGCGCAGACGTTCAAGTCAATGATAGAGCGAAACAAGGACCTCCCACTGGATCAAGTCTGGGGACCTCACGTAAGTAAAGAACTAAATTTGGCATTGAGATTAACAAAAGCTTAATAGAAACATTTTGGATTTAAACTGCTTAGGGCAAATCAAGTACTACTTTTCAATTATTTAAAAAATTCTTGTCTTTGATTTTTTATTCATTCTTTGGTACAAATTTAATATTCCCTGATGAAAATCTGCATTTGTACATTACCAAAAGGCCACTATACATAAGCATATGGAGACTGAGCCTTTTGAAAGACAAGTTGTCTTCCAGGTCTGGAGAGGTGGCCCAGAGTTAAGAGCGCATGCTGCTCCTACAGAGTGAAAGAGTTCAGTTCCCAGAACCATATTTGGAGGCCAAACTGCTTATAACCCTAGATCTAGAGGAACATGACATCTCTAGCCTCCGCAAGCACACATGCACACTTGCACATGCACACACCTGCACACACATACACACTTACACATACATACACACACCTACACATACATACACACACCTACACATACATACATACACACACCTACACATACATACACACACCTACACATACATACACACACCCACACATACATACACACACCCACACATACATACACACACCCACACATACATACACACACCCACACATACATACACACACCTACACATACATACATACACACACCTACACATACATACACACACCTACACATACATACACACACCCGCACACACATACACACACCTACACACGCATACACACACCTACACATACATACACACACCTACACATGCACACAAACCTTGCACATACACACACACCTTATACATACATACACACCTGCACATACACACACATTGCATATACAACACATCTTTACACACACACACACAATTTTAAAAATAATAAAAATAAATGTCTTAAGAATTTATCTTATTTTTTTTTATTTAAGAGTTAATTAGTCTGTGAACTCTCCCCTGGCCATCATTCCCAAGAGAGCCTTCATTTCTTGTCCCTTTTTTCTCCAGTATTATGAACATTTATAACTCTCTGACACATTATGCAGCCTACTTTAAAAATCTCATTACCTAGCTAACCAGGTCTGGAGAGATGGCTAGGTGGTTAAGAGCATGTACTGCCCTTGCAGAAGACCCGAGTTCTGTTCCCAGAACCCATTTTTTTCAGATGGCGCCTAACTGCCTGTAACTTCAGCTTTAAGGGATCCTGTTGTAATGAGGTTCCTTGTTTGTTTCCCAGCCACCTGGCAGCTCAGACCCAAAATAACCACGCAGAAACTGTATTAATTATCTCACTGCTTGACCCATTAGCTCTAGTTTCTTATTGGTTAACTCTTACATCTTAATTCAATCCATTTCTATAATCTGTGTATTTGCCATGTGGCTGTGGCTTACCTGGTAAAGTTCAGTCATCTGTCTCCAGCAGGGGCTACATTGTTTCTCGCTGACTCTGCCTTCTTCCTCCCAGCATTCAGCTTAGTTTTCCCCACCTAGCTAAGTTCTGCCTTGCTATAGGTCCAAAGCCATTTCTTTAGTAATCAATGGTAATCACAGCATACAGAGGTAAATTCCACATCAGGATCCAGCTCCCTCTTCTGCCCTCCAGTCATATACATACACAAAGACACACATACTTCAAGCTAAAAAAAAAAATCTTAAATAAGCAAAAGCAAAAACAAAACAAAACTCAAGGTCCAAGAGAGAAGGGAACCGTGTTCTTCTGCTCACTGCTGTATTCTCAGTCTCTAACTCACTGTAGATAATGAATATGTATTTATAGGACTAATTAATAAACTATAGCTTATCCACCTCTACTTATTACTTAAAATCATGAGGAATTAAAGTAATAATGGATTCAGTTCAAACCAAACTTGCATTCCTGGTTATTTTTGTTGTTTTTTTTTTTTAAAAAAAAAAACACCCAAGGGTCTGGGGTCAGGCAAAGGTGTAAAGAACAGTGCCTACAGAACAAATGTTACATAGCGCATCTCAGTACTCCCAGATGTTATTCAGCAACAACGTACATGAGGAAGCAGTGGGTAGATTGGTGGTTAACAATCATGGAATTTGCCTGAAGCAGCATGAAATAGTAGAGCTGGTCACAAGCTTCGGGAGACATCAGGAATGATCCTCTGGGAGGCTTGTTAAAATAGATAACTTGGTCTCACCTAGATTTGAATTAGGGCCCAACCCCCAAGCCCCATCTTCCCCTTTTCCCTCCTCTCCTCTCCTCTCCTCTTCTCTCCTCTTCTTTCTTCTCCTCTCCTCTCCTCTCCTCTCCACTCTGCTCCATTCCCTTCCCTTTCCTTCTCTTTCCCAACACTGGAGATTAAACCCAGGGCCTTGTGTGAGCTATGCAAGTGTCTGATCCAGCCCCTAAACTTGCATTTCTAAAAGTCCAAGATGAAGATGGCATTGTTGATCTGGGGACTATCCCTGATAACCACTGAAGTAGTTCACAACCTGCAAAGATTCTAGAGGAATTCTAATAATGTGTGTAGCACCCCAAGGTGCACTTACCGGGAAGATTCTAGCCTACATCCATCCTGGGTCGGAGCTTCATCGCGTGTGCCCCCCAGAGCTGAGCTATGGCGTCTGAGCTCACTTCCTCTTCCTCCCAGCATTCTGTTCTGTTTTCTCCTCCCACCTATGTTTTAACCTATGAGGCCAAGCAGTTTTCTTTATTACTTAACCAATGCCCTTCCTCCATCACATGTGTACATATAAAAATGCACACAGTGATGCAGGCAAACAGGTCCTGGTGACAAGGGCCTTTTTGTGATGCTGACCAGAGGATCAGTTCCCACACATACTGCAAATGTCTCATATTCTTCTGATCAAGTTCATGACCTCGTGCATTAACCAATTCAGTAGACAAGAACTCTCAAAGTCCAGAAAAATACTTTGTATTTTCTTTCTTTTTTTTTAAGATTTATTTATTTATTATGTATTCAGTGTTCTGCCTGCATGTATCATTGCAGGCCAGAAGAAGGCACCAAATCTTATTGCAGATGGTTGTGAGCACATGTGGTTGCTGGGAATTGAACTCAGGACCTTTAGAAGAGCAGGCAAAGCTCTTAACCACTGAGCCATCTCTCCAGTCCCTGTATTTTCTTTCTTTATTTTTCTTTTGAGACAGGGTCTCCCTACAGAGTCTTGGCTACCTGGGAACCCACTATATAGACCAGGCCTACCTCCAACTCAGAGGTACACCTGCCTCTGTCCCTCAAGTGCTGGAATTAAGGCATGTCCCACCATGCCCGGCATATTTTGCATTTTCAAGTTAGATTACAACAAAAACTATGAACCTTTTATTTTTTCTTCACTCACAGATTTCCTACATACTGTTTTATACATGTGCCAGACATACAGTGTCAGAAAGGTAAACAGAGGCAAGAAATGGTAGAAGATGCGGATTTTTACTACTTTCACCATGATGTATAGTTATAGTTCATCAGACTGAACACATATGCTTTGCATGAAATAAATTATAGCATAACTCACCTCCAATACCTAGTATACTGAAGATAGATTATACCCATGGTAGCACTGGATTTAAGGGCCTCAAAATGTAGCGGCAATAAAGAAATCAAGAAATAAATACCATCAGATAAATCCAGTACTATTTATCCAACAGTTATAGACAGAATTTGGCTGCACTCAGCATCTATGATATGGAAATAAGCATATGATCACAGGACAGATGGAAGTGCAAACTTCTAGACCCAAATAAACTTGCCAGGTGGTACAGTTGTGGGTGACTGTCATTCTAAGTGGTGAAATCCCATCCATTCCTAGAGGAGCCCAGGAGTCTCACTCCAAGGCCAACCTTACCCACATAGGGTTAGACCCACCTTGCGATGGGCTGAGTTGTATCTCGGCCCTGCTACTAGAGCTATATCCACAGCAAACATGTCTCTTTAAAGCTTTACCCCTCCTGAAGAACTAATCCTCCCTCATCTGTGTCCTGTTCCCACACTACTACCTGACATCCTGGTCACTCACCAAACTAAGGATATCTTTGTCTACGTGAGGCATCTCCTCAGAGGGTCCTCCCTGGACCATGAGCGAGGGCTGGTAGGGGGCTGTGGCATGTGCGCCTTGGTACTACAGGGGCAGAATAGAAAGGGTAGTTATTGCATCTCTTTAATGACTTTCCAAGATAAATATATGAGAATCTGAACTGGAGAGAATGGTCAGTGGGTAGGAGCACTGGTTGCTCTTGCAGAGGATCAGGTTTTGGTTCACAGCATCCGCAAGGCAGGTCGCAAGCATCTGTAACTCCAGTTGCTGGGGTTCTGATGCCCTCTTCTGACCTACACAGGTAGTGCATCTCAGTGGCACACTTCAATGCAGGCAAAAATAATCATACACATAAAATTAAAATAAATAAATCTCAACTATGAATCGGATTTTGTTAAAGTCAGGAAATAACCTCTTTTTTATCTTTTCATCTTGCTCAGAACTATAGGACTTGTTTTTCGTATGCTACTGGGAAGCCTGGAGACCTAAACCAACCATATGAGATTATAAACTCTACTAATAGAAACCATTTAGTATGGCCCATGGACCATTCCGGAATGTATGTGTTTCGTGTGAGAATCTTGGATCCAAACTTTAGGTGAGAGTAAATGTTTTATGACATTTTTCCCTTAAATTTTTTTTGCTTTTTTTTGGGGGGGGGGGTTATTGCCACCCAAACATCTAACTTTTGTTATTCTTATTATTCATATGTTTGCCTTTTATTTTGTGGTAATCATAGCAAATACTCTATGGAAGTAGGAGATTTTATGTCAACTGTTAACTGGATCAGTTGGCTTGAAATTCCATTCTGGTACAGTGTCCCCTTAACACACACATTGGTTTTTTTTCTCATTGGCATGACCAAACACCCGAAAAGAAACACATGAAGGAGGAAGGATGTATTTTGTCTCAATTTGAGAGTAAAATCTCTCCTGGTAATAACAGCCTAGTGACCCGAGAGAGAAGCCAGCTGATCAAGAGCTGCAGTCAGGAAGCAAAGAGCAATGGATGTCGGGTTCAACTCTCTTTTCCCCTCGGACCATGCAACTGTGCCAGCCATGTTTAATGGGGTCTTCCTTGGTCAGGCATTTTCCCAGAGGTGTGTTTCTTTCTTTCTTTTTTTTTTTTTTTTGGTTTTTGTTTTTGTTTTTCGAGACAGGGTTTCTCTGTGGTTTTGGAGCCTGTTCTGGAACTAGCTCTTGTAGACCAGGTTGGTCTTGAACTCACAGAGATCCACCTGCCTCTGCCTCCCAAGTGTTAGGATTAAAGGCGTGTGCCACCACCGCCCGGCCAGAGGTGTGTTTCTGTGGTGATTCTAAAGCCAGATAGGCTGACAATGATTAGCCATTACACCTACCCTGTGCAAGGCCCTGGGCTCCATCCTACCACTATGAGAAAACAGAGCAAATGGAAGCCCGTAAACCCACTTCTGAAGGAAATCCTGAGGGCTGCATGTTTCTCTCCCTGCCCACAGGAATAAAAATCCTTCCTTCCAAGCAAGAGAACCATTCTGGTTCAAAGGCAGCTTAAGCAGCTCCCTGACAATGGGCAGAAAGGGGCTCTTGCCAATGTCAGGAGAAAACATGGACTCTTTCTGGTGGCTTCCATTATGCACCCCATGAAAGCAAACGAGACTTTGACAGGTGTGGCAGTACTAGCCTGTCATCCCACTACTCCGGGGACTGAGTTCACTAGACCCTCTTGATTTCAGGAGTTCAAGGCCAGCCCAGACTAGAGCCTCAAAGTAGCAAATAAATATATAAAATAATAAGGAAATTAGGCTTGAGTCATTATCCTAAGGACCACCCTGCTACTTCAAGGGTGAAATGATCTCAAAAGTAAAAGAGTGTATGAAAATCGCAAGGGATCCAGGATTTGAGGAATGGTTAGCAAGCAGTCAAGTAGAGAGGGCAGTGTGGGATGAGCATGATGAAGTTGATGGTGTCTGTCCATGAAAGCTTCCATGCTAAAAAGCAGGATCTTATACAATGAATACAAGCTAATAGAGTAGCTAAAATAAAAATATAAAGGGACTAAATGAAGCTGAAGAGAAACTGAGCGAATTGGAAAGACTAAGCAAACAGCCACCGCAGTCCACGTCATTATTTCCTTGTCCCAAATCGTGCAACTTCGGAAGTTCTCTTATGATAATGCAACTATACTTAAGTCATAAAAATGCACTTCCCCTCCAAAGTGGAACAGATCCTTCTTATTGTGTCTAGTGCCAAATCCAAACTCTCAAAACAATTTTTGTTCCTCCCTTAATTTGGCCATGATCTTGACTTCACATCCTATACCACTTACCACCAATACACCTAATGTACGTGATAAATGAGTAGGAGAAATGAAAAAAGGGGAAAAACCAAAGGTAGTTCACATATAACTAGTATAAACATAGACACAGAGACTAAAGTTATTGTTTGTTTGAGACAGGGTTTCTCTGTGGTAGCCCTGGCTGTCCTGGAACTTGCTCTGTAGACCAGACCAGCCTTGAACTCACAGAGATCTGCCTCTCTCTGTATCCCCAGGGCCGTGACTAAAGGCATGGGCCACCACTCCGAGTTCCTCATCCTCATGTACTGCATGTCTATGACCAGCACTGCATTTTGTTTCCTGGCAGAAGATGTTTTTATTTCTTTGGAATCTGAGCTCTTAGCATGTCCTACCACATGTGCCTTGGTTATAATGAAAAACGGAGTAACTCCCAATTCTGTCCCTCAAACTCACGTACTCTGGCAGTGGGATTAAGAAATGCCTTATGTTCACTGGGTTTTTTTGTTTGTTTGTTTGTTTTTGGTTTTTCAAGACAGGGTTTCTCTGTGGTTTTGGAGCCTGTCCTGGGACTAGCTCTTGTAGACCAGGCTGGTCTCGAACTAACAGAGATCCGCCTGCCTCTGCCTCCCAAGTGCTGGGATTAATGGCGTGCGCTACCACCGCCCGGCCCACTGGGTTTTGATTCTACTCCATGTACTGGCTTTGTGGGAACCTAGTCTGTTTGGATCCTCAACTTCCTAGACCTGGATGGAGGGGGGAGGACCTTGGACTTCCCACAGGGCAGGGAACCCTGACTTCTCTTTGGACTGGAGAGGGAGGGAGAAGGGGAATGGGGGGAGGGGAGGTAAATGGGAGGAGGGGAGGAGGGGAAAATTTGTAATAATAATAATAATAATAATAATAAGAAGAAGAAGAAGAAGAAGAAGAAGAAATTTATTACATCATCTTTCCATCTGCTACTCAATGACCCCTTTTCTTCTCTTTTTTTTTTTTTTAAATGTTTTTTTAGACAGGGTTTCTCTGTGTTTTCTGACTGTCCTGGAATTCACTTTATAGACCAGGCTGACTTCGAACTCACAGAGATCTGCCTGCCTCTGCCCCACCCTCAGTGCTGGGATTTAAGGCATGTGCCACTACCACCCAGGACAGTGGCCTTCCAAGTTCTAATCACACAGAGTAAAATTCAGAACTAAGCAAATTGCTAGTTTGTTTCTAAGTGGCCACTAATCCCTGTATTTACATTATTCTGAGAAGTGCACTCAGTGCCTGGGTGAGAAGCCCCAACTGTGTGCTCTGCACACCACCAGGCCTATAGCAAATATTCACTTAGCTCCCGTCTCCACTGAAATAGGGCTCAGTGTGCAACGGTTAACTGTGTAGTACTTCTGAAGATGCTTATGATTCTTCATTATTATTATTAATGTCATCACGACCATTGCCTTGGAAACTACCACCCAAAGTGTGCAATTCTGTGAGGGCAGCATGGTTATCCCCCTTAAATTTGCACCAAAAGAAAAAAAACACATCATAACTGTTCTGTAAGTGCATCTATCTATTGTGTCCTTGTCAAAAAAATGACACCTTAAAAAAGTTACATATGATCTGAGTGTTACCATAGAGATGCAGAGGATATTTTAAATACATTTAGCTCAACTTTTAATATCACTTTTTCTAATTTGCAGTTTCTGCAACCTAACAACTATTTTTGCGATCGAGACCTTCGGAGCGATTCCCCGGTAATGAGCAGCACTTGATAGTGCTGCGGTTCTTACGTATCTGCTTGTTTGAGTCTTGTTTCCTGACTTTACTTTTTAAGACAAAAATCTCATAACCCTGGCTGGCCTGGAACCCACGATCCTCCCATCTCAGCACAATGCCTAGCAGAGAGAAGATGGGTTATGTTCATCATGGCCCAAGCAAGAACCATTTGCTTGGCCACAGAGGAGAAAGATCATTCTAAGATAACTGTGGGCCCAGAGAAACTGTAACACGACAACCAAGTCTTCTAGTCAGACATGAAGGCCCCAAATAGAAAAGAACATTTAAGTGTCCAGACTAAGAATAAGCCCCCTGTCATGGGAGGTAATGCCACAGAATCCCAGGTGAAGAGACCTGAAGGGCCCCAGCAGAGAGTAGCTTCTAATACATACACGCATGCATGCACGCTTGTACACCAGTACACACATGCACGCATGCACACATACACACTTGCACGTCAATACACACACTCATGCACGCATGCACACATACACACTTGCACATCAATACACACACTCACGCACGCATGCACACACTCATCTGTGCTCTCACAAATATACCCATATATATATATACACACCTCACACACACTCACAAATGCTCAGTCACCACCAGCCATGTAACCAGGCCCTGAGCCTGCAGGGGTAGCACCCCTTACTCTGCAGCCTGAGGCGAGAGGATCACTTGAGCCTAGGAGCTCCAGGCCAGTGTGGGAACGTACTGGCGCCAGTTCTCCTTGCCTGCCCTCTTCCCTCTGAGTCTAATGCCAGTGAGTAGCGACACCAGCTCATGGTGACTGTCCCCCACACTTGGCGGTTCTCTTTATTCTTTCGCATTCCTGATATGCCACAAATTGCCAAGACAAATCCAGTCTAAGCTTTAAATCTATCTTGGACCTAACCACATCTCTCCATTTCTTCTCCCACACCATCGCTTACCAATCCCTTAGAACTGGCTCACATGGCCTTCTCTGTTCACTCGTCACATTCAGTCAGGATCGGCCTTACACAATGTCTATCCCCTTTTACACACATGAAACACTCTCTTGCCTTTTGAATAAATGCCATACTCTCAATCCTTACTGTAAGCTTCTCCTTACCTGATACATGCCCACCTATTTTTTTTTCCTTTTTTTCCTCAGTGTGAGAAAGCAAGCTCAGACCTTATTCCTGGTAGACATTGAACCACATCCCCCATCTCTATATCCCCCATCACTCCTCACTTCTAACCACACTGTCTGACTTTGGAGGTATTAGTCACATGGAATTAGGTTCCAGTCCAGAATGTCCTGGAAGGACCTCAAAGTTTCTTCATGCTTTGGTGGCATCTCCTCCATGCAAAAAAAAAAAAAAAAAAAAAAACAAAAAAAACTCCCTTTGCCACAAATACTGTTTTGCCATGATCACTTCCTCCACCCCAGGCAGCACTAGCTGACCCCTACCCACACTTAGGTCCCTCCTCCTCTGCACCACTTCACAGGGCTCTTCCATGCTCCCTTCTCTCCTGAGGATCACTTCCCTCTTCCTCATCAGCCTCAAACATTTAATCACCCTGAGGACAGATGCTAGGTCTTACTACTTGGTCTGTGTGGCCAGCAGGGGAGTTAGCTGTTCTAGGACAGTTTGATTGAATAGATTAGCTTAGCGGCAGAGTGTGAAGAATGGCTTCTGATGGCTTCTTTGTTGTTGTTCTTTTTCTAGCCCAAGTTTCTACCTGGTAGCTGCCTTGATTTTTGTCTTGATGCTCACGTTCATCAGTGTTCTAGTTCTGAGCTATTTCTGGTATGCGAAGATTTATAGGCAATTTATTTTTGAGCCACTTCACAAGCCTCCTTCAAAACAGAAGAAGAATTAGGGAAACCGAGAGTTAATTCTGGAGATGTGTGTGTGTGTGTGTAGACAGATATATAGGTAATGTACATATATGTAATTATATTATGAATGTGTTTGACTAAGGAACATTAAATATAAGCTCATACTATTATTAAATTCAAGATCTGAAAAATGTTCTTAAATTACTCCCTCAAATAACATACATTATTATGTTTGTTATCATTATTATTCATTTTAAAGATATCATATACACTGTTACATTGCATTTAAAAAATAAAAAATCAAAATCAGGTGGTGGTGGCAGCGGTGCGCATCTTTAATCCTATCAGAGGGAAGGCAGAGGCAGGTGAATCTCTGTGGGTTCCAATATAGCAAGAGAAACCCTGTCTCAAAAAACCAAAAAAGAAAAAAAAGGAAGGAAAGAAGGAAGGAAGGAGGGAGGGAGGGAGGGAGGGAGGGAGGAAGGAAGGAAGGGTAGCTAGTTGTTCCAAAAGACCTAGGTTTGACTCCCAGCATCCACATGGTGACTCAAAGTAAGTCCAGTTTTAGGAGATCTTTCACCCTCTTCTGGCCTCAAACAGCACTGCACACATGCGGAACACAGACACATGTGCATGCAAAACACCTGCACAGATAAAATAAAAACAAAGGAAAAAATAAAGGATTTTTTTAAAAAAAGTTTTATTTCCCATTTCTCAGGAAAGGAGTAGAGCAAGTTGATGGGGGAATTTAAAGTCCACCTGGGCTACATAGTGAAACCCTACTGCAATTTTGACTGATAAGTTATAAACTGTTATGGATTATTATTTTAAGATGTGCTACATGTGCTTATACTGTGAAACATTTGTTTCAATGATGCAAATATGTGTTTCATTCTGTGAAGCTGTGATTCTTTGCCCATCTAAAATACCTAATAAAGAGCTGCATGGTCAATAGCAAGGCAGGAGAAAGGATAGGTGGGGATGGCAAGCAGAGAGAATAAATAGGAGAAAATAGAGAATGGAAGAGAGGTCAAGGAGTAAGAAAAGAAGGGGCCAGCTACCCAGCTATCCATGGAATAAGAATACTAAAGTAAGATTACAGAATTAAGAAAGGAAAAAGTCCAGAAGCAAAAGATAGATGGGATCATTTAAGTTAAGAAAATCTGGCTAGAAACAAATCAAACTAAGGCCAGGCATTTATAAGAAAGAGTAAATCTCTGAGTGTGATTTATTTGGGAGTTTGGTGGTAGCCCCCTTTCCAAAAGCCAAAAGAGTAAAAGGAGTAGAATAACCAGCAACATAAGCCTTAAAAAAACTTACTAAAACAGATAATAGAGATATTCAGACAAACATAGAGGAATTTAAAAGAAAACCAACCTCACCATTACATTATAAAATTAGAGAGGATCAACCCAAGGTTATCAAAACACCAACCCTAATTTATCCAGTCACCATACAGGAACAACTACCAAATTACAAGCATTCCCCAAGGCTATAAAAGAGCTGGCTGGATTCCTATGGAAATGTTACATTTGAGGATATTTAAGGAAACAATAGTCTCATAAGGTATGCATTCACCTTTTGTGAGGCAGATGTTAAATTTGTGGTCAACTTACAACAGATGTATATCCCATAAGACTGGAAAGACTTGGTTACAGCAGTATTGGAACCTGGTCCTCAATTGCAGTAGAAAACCTGGTAGAAAGATGAGGCTAGGATCATTTAACAATGAAGTAGGGCTAGAGGTATTAAATTTTCCCAAGACCAACTTCTCAGAGAGGGTGATTATACAGATTACAAAGACAATCTCTATATAATTACCACACCTTGGCTCTATTCCATGCAGCAGCTTTGAATGCTTGGGACAGAGTTGGAGAAGTAGGAAAGTGAACTGAGATATTTACTAAAGTTATGCAGGGCTCGAAAGAAACCTTCACTGATTTTTTACAAACATTGAGTACAGCTATAAATAGAACGATACCAAACCCAAAGCTAAACAAGTATTAATTGAATCCTTGGCTTTTGAAGATGTTAATTCACAATGCAAAAGGGTAATTAGGAGTTTAAAGAAAAGATCAGCACCCATCAAGGAATGGATCTGAGATACAGTCAATATTAAATCTTACAACCATGAGCTGGGCGGTGGTGGCGCACACCTTTAATCCTAGCACTTGGGAGGCAGAGGCAGGTGGATCTCTGTGAGTTCGAGACCAGCCTGGTCTACAAGAGCTAGTTCCAGGACAGGCTCCAAAACCACAGAGAAACCCTGTCTCGAAAAACCAAAAAAAAAAAAAAAATCTTACAACCATGATAATAATTGGGTAGGAGAAGTGATATACAAAGGCTTGAAGAAAAATTAAAAGGTCAGATGTTTTCACTGTGGTAAATAAAATCATCAGAAAAGGGATTATAGGCAGGGTGTTACTAGAAACATGTTTCTTGTAGAAATAATCCAACTAGAAGGCCCTTGCCTTCTAGAGTATGCAGAAGGTACTGCAAAGGTTGACATTGGAGCAAGGAAGGCATAACAACAAGTGTAGTGAGCCGGACAGGATCGCCATTACAAGATGGCGCCGACATCCTGTCTTGTTGGAAATAAACAACTCCATATTTGGCTATGCCTTTGAGAGCTGCGTGTCCCTCGCTTCCCGCATGCGCGGTGGATGAGGATCCTTGAGCCTATCCCGATGCGGTCTGGTGTCAGCTGTTGGTGGCAGCCAATCACAGGGCGACCCGTGTGCCATTTCCCTATTTAAGCAGCTGCCTAAGAGCCCTTCACCCCTTCGCTTCATGCTCTCCCTGCCCTTCCCTTCCTGCCCCTTGTTTTCCTGCCCCCCTCGTTTCCTGCTCCCCATCAATCAAGGGTACTCCAGTAAAGCGTGATCTGAGTGGAATCCTGATGTGGTGGTCGTTCTTCCTCGCCAGTCGAGAGGTCCGCCACAAACAAGGGACAGACAAGGTAATCCTTTGCCATAGGAAAATACCTTGGAGGACCTCTTGCAGTTCCCCATGTCAAATTTGATTTCATCATTCCCAGTCATGGTGGGGGAAAGTCCTCCCCAGAATAATTAAAGGACCTAAGCCTATTGTAAAAAACCATACTGTTCTGGATGATAGGACAGCTTTAGAAGGTAAAACCACATAATCCCATGGGAAAGCAGTTATAGAGAGATCCAATTGAACTCTAAAAGATATACCTAATAAACAGAAAGGGGTAATAAAGACTCCCAGAGGTAGATTGCACAATGCTTTATTAGCTTTAAATTTTCTAAATGCTAATGAAAAAAAGTGACAGCTGTAGAGAGTCATTGGACAATAGAAAAAACTGCTGAATTAAATCGGCCTGTATACTTTAAAAATATGTTGACCTCAGAATGGAAACCAGAATACGTGTTATGTTGGGGAAGAGGTTTTACTTTTGTTTCCACAGGAGAAGAAAAGCTATGAATAACATCAAAATTGATAAAGATTAGTTAGAGTCAAACAAGAAAGACCTCTTGACTGAAAGAGGTGATAGTTTACCAAACAGTGTGACCATTCAATCTAAACTAATTTATAAGACTAACAAATGCTTTTCATTTGGTCAGATATAAGTTGACAAAAAAAAAGGACTCTCCCAAAAGTTAGGGTTGGGGCAGGGTTTTGTTTTTGTCTTTCCAGGAGAATGAAGGTATCCAGCTAAGAAATCTGAAGACCACTGGACAAATGAGACATCTGAGGAAAAGGGTGAATCATCCAGAGAAAGTGTTCCACGAAAAGGAGCAAGTTGGCCTATTGGTAAATCATATTTCCAACAGGATAAAATTTCACAAATATTTCCAATAGTTTGTTTCTGTTATTCTCTACAGACATATAATGCAAATGGTTTTTTTGTACTCCTAGTTCAATTAAAAATTAAAGTTGGCTTTGGAGTTGAATGTGGCTTTCTCCTTCTCTAAACCCAAGCACACTTATTAAAGGAAAATCCAAAAAAAATCTCTGTCTCATGTCAGAAGAACCACTTGATATGGGCCAGAAGAAAAAAACAAAATTAAGGGACTATTCTATTGCCACTAATCTCATAATTCTTTGGTTTTATTTTGACTCTTTAAAGCTTTTCTTAATGTATAAGTATTATCTCAAAATTTATAAAATTAATATATATTTAAATTTTTGTCATGATATTAATGGTCATATAGAGTACTAACTAATTGTAGAAAAAGACTTCATCTAGTTTCCTGTACATGTTTTTGGGTTTAAGTCTCTATCAGGTAACTAGACATTAAGTAATTATACTCTGGATGTACATAACAAATTATAACCTTTTAACTTTTTGAGATCTGCTGCATGTGACATTTAAAATGATTAAGTTTTCTGCAGTGAACCATGAACACGCCTTATAGCGACCTCTGAAGTCTCCAAAAGGAGGATGGTGCCCCACAATGACAAGTCCAACAGAACTATGGTAATTCCACTAAGATGACAAACCACCCAAAGATCAACTTTGGGCTACAAACTGCTCAGGTCAATTTTGAGATGAGGTTATCAGATAGTCCAGCCTCACAGACTACTCTAGCCAGGACTTAAGGCAAGCCCTGTACCGTTCCATTACACAGAGACTGGACAACAAATGATACAACTACTTCTCCCAAGACTTGACAATTAACCCAATTTTTTCAGGACCCTCTAAAGATGCCTTCACCCCCCCCCCAAAAAACAGGAAATAATTCTAAGAACATGACATCCACTTCCCCAAGAGGAGGTGTGGGTGGTTCTTGACCATTCAGTGGGTTATGAATATTTGTTATCACTTGGGGTGGTGGGTTGGTTACAAGTTGTTAGTGTATGGAAAAAGGAGAGATATAGAAATGATAGGATAAAAAAGGTAGATTATTGAATCTACTTTTAAACCAAAAAAGCAATGACTGGTCTTCAATATTTAACATTGGTATGGATTTTTGTATATTGATACAAATTTAAGGTTATTTTTGTTATACTGTATATATGTTTCTACTCTTAAGATATGCTTGTATATTAATACAAATTTAAGGTACTCTTGGTT